TGTCCTGATATAATCGTCATTGTGGGACCCCATTATCTTTTTGGAGACTTTAGGTTTGTTATTAGGTGTGGTCATAATTCCCTGCAGAAAACTGATAGAGACTCAAACACAAAAACATGTACAGGCAGCTAGATGAAGCCTATTTTCTAGAATTAGCTAGTACTCTATATGTCCATTAATATCATGACAAAATTTAAAAAATATATACATTAATCTTATAAATTTTGATATAAAATGCATACCTTAAGAAAAATTTTAAAGAGTCAAAATAAATTCAAAGAATTGTGAGATTAGTGACAATAGAATAGTCCCTTAATTTTGGTTTTCTTCTGTCCCATATCAGATGGCTCTTATGACATGATACAGAGATTTTGCATTTTCTTTTAACAAGCATGTTTGGGTTTAGAGAAGGAGAGAGACATTCTCCAACTCCAAAGCTAGCTTTAATTTTTAATTGAACTGGGACTACATAAAGACCATTTATAACAAGCATCTATAGAGAACAGCAGAAACAAACATTTAGGAAGACTTATGAAATTTTATATGTGATAAACCAAGAGGTCAATTTACTTTTTTTCTTGGGACATTTTTTTTCTGAATGATTTGTCCTTTTTCTTCAGATGTTTCATTTGTCCAGTGTTCTTCAGATTCTTTAGCCTTCATTCTCCTGAAAAACAAAAACAAAAAACCTTCTTGGAGAGGTTCCCTTTTGGCAAGTTATATCTGACTAAATGAAAAGCATTTGTTAGTGGTATAAGTTAATCTAAATTGGATGGTCATACTGGTTGATGAACTATCACCTCTTCTAATTAAGAGGTCTCTCTTGTTCAAATCGAACCTTTATCAATTTTGATGATATCCATAGCTTATCTTCTCCTGGAGAAACAAAAGCAAAACCTTGTCCCCAACGTAACACACATCCTGGTTTCCATTCTGAGGTCAGCACATTCTTAAAGTACATAGGCTGATTTAATTCTGTAGTTTCTTTCTATTATCCGATGTCTCTCTGCAGCTGTTTTCCTTTCTCATTAGCACTGAGAAAATTCAAAGTTAATAGAGCATTATGGAATCTATTTCTTGGGGAGGGTGGTGTTGTTACCCCTTTCTGTTTATTTAGCACATCCTTTAGATTTCTATTTGATCTTTCTGTGACTGCTTGGCCTGTAGGATTGTGTGGTATACCTGTAATATGCTTTATATTGTAATAAGCAAAAAACTGTTTCAGTTTACCAGAGACATATGATGGAGCATTGTCAGTTTTAATTTGTGCAGGTATGCCCATGATGGCCATAACTTCTAGCAAATGAGTGATTACAGAATCAGTCTTTTCAGAACTCGGAGCATTTGCCCATTGAAATCCTGAATAGATGTCCATGGTGTGGTGTACATATTTCAATTTTCTAAATTCTGCAAAGTGAAACACATCCATCTGCCAGATTTCATTCCTCTGAGTACCCTTTGTGTTACATCCTGCTGGTAGTAGAGTCTGGTTGTAAAAGGGACAAGGGGGATATTTCCTTATAATTTTCTTGGCTTGTTGCCAGGTTATGAAAAAAAATCCCCTTTTAAACCCTTTCTATTGACATGATGTTTTTTAATGAAATTCTGAGGCCTCCAGTACATTTCCTATCAATAGCTTATCAATCTTGTCATTGCCTTGTGGTGGAGGTCCTGGCAGATGGACCCATATGGGATCAGATGTGAGTTATATATAAGGGATGCTTCCTATTCCTGATAATATCTTGTAAATGAATAAATAAAAAAGTTAATCCTGACTCATCAGGGATAAATTCTGCAGTCTCAATATGTAATACCACTCTTTCAGCATACTAAGAGTCAGTAACTATGTTGAGAGGTTCCAAAAAGTCCATTAATACCATCAAAATAGCACATAATTCCAATTTTTGAACTAAATTATAAGGACTTTGAACCACTTAACTTAAATTTTATGATTTGTTACCTGCCTTTCCTGTTTGTTTGCATCTGTATAAAATGTAGGGGCTCCAGATATTGGAGTTTCCTATACAATGTGAGGCAGGAGCCAATCAGCTCTCTTTATAAGTTGAATTCTTTCGCTTTTGGGATATTTGTTGTTGGTATCTCCCAAAAAGTTACTGCAAGCTCTTTGCCAAGGTTCACTTTCTGCTCATAATTTGTCAATGTCCTCCTTAGTGAAAGGTACAACAATTTCTGCTGGGTCTATTCCTGCTAATTGACAAAGTCTCAATTTTCCTTTTAAAATCAACTCAGAGATCTTTTCCACATAAATTTTTAATTTTTTACTCTCTTTATTTGGTAGAAATATCCATTCCAGTATAATATCTTCCCTCTGCATTCAAATTCCTATAGGAGAATGCTTAGAGGATAAAATAACCAAAATGTAATCAATCTTGAATCCACATGATCCACATATCCTTCCTGTACTTTCTTTTCCACCAAGGCCAATTCTCTCTCAGCTTTAGCTGATAATTCTCTTGGACTATTTAAGTCCTTGTCACATTCTAAGGCTTTGAACAAATTACTCAGTTCATCGTTTTTTTACCCCAACAACAGTCCACAGATAGGAAATGTCTCCGAATAATCTTTGAAAGTCATTAAGAGTCCATAATCAATCTCTCCTAATTTGCACCTTTTGGGGTCTAACTTTTTTGTAGACCTATTTTAGATCTTAAATAGTTAATAGAATCTCCTCTTTGTATCTTTTCAGGAGCAATTTGTAATCCTCAACAAGGCAGAATTTTCTTTACTTCTTCAAACATTCTTTCTAAGGTATCTGCATTGAATCAGCTAGTAAAATATAGTCTGTGTAATGATAAATTATAGATTCAGGAAATTGTTTATGGATTACTTCCAGCAGCTGTCATACAAAATATTGGCACAGTGTTGGGCTATTTAACATTCCCTGTGGGAGAACCTCCATTGATATCTCATCTCTTAAGTGGCTGAGAATTATTATAAGTAGGCACAGACTCTGGGAGAATGTTGAAACAACAAGCTCAGTTAGTTATTCAGGAAGAGGAAAACCTTATATACCCTCCACCCCTCCCTGGGGGGAGGAGTGTCTGATGAATGTGCATCTGCTGGTGTGGCATGGCTGCCTCTCATTGGCCTCAGTTATTTCCAGATCATGTCTCAGGGGCTGTTGCTAAGGCCCTTAGGCAGACACAGGTTGGCTCTCAGAAAGTATCCTTTTAATGGTTTTGGGCCCACTGGCCCTCAAGCCTGTTAGGGATGAGTCATCCCACAGTGCACAGGAAAGAGGGGAGGGGCTGGTTGGTGAGTTTGGTAGTCCTGCAGGCTAGACCCGGACAGAGAGCTTGGAGGTCACGGGAAGGATTTGATAGTTCTTCTAGAACAATGGGAGCGTTGCCACAGTCTCAGCAAAGATCAGACATGATCGACAGAAGAAGGCGGAAATGAAAGAAACAGATCATCAGTTAGTTGTGAATCTAAAAATCTCTTTAGGAAGTGGAGCTAAAGGTGCCTGGTTCCACACTCTGGTCAATTGGAAGAAGCTGCTCCCGGAATGGCCCATTTCCTATTAATGACAGCTGGGTTTATATGAACATGAACACACTGCCAGCTGAGCTCTGCTGACCCAGCACAGTCCCTGGGATGTGGAGATCTCCTTCCCACAGCAGCATGCGAATTACTGGGTGATGCCGGCAGCAGGGCTGAGCCAAAGTAGTAACTGCTTTGCACTCAGAGCAAATGACTTCTCCATTGCTGAGAGTAAAACTAACCTGTGAATAAATGAAATATCCGAGTCCTAAGGCACAGAGGACACAGGGAAGAGCAGTGATGCAAATATCTCTTCTCCCGTGACTGTGCATAGGGGACCACATCCCCACGCTGCAGTTTATGGGGCTCCACATAGTGTCAGTGGCCCCTCCCACTCCAGAGACCTGATTTTAGTGACTTCAGTGAGGATAATTGACACAGGATCGATGGTCTGTATTTAAAGCACCTAACTTGAGTTTGTGCACTGGTATACAACAGTAAAGCTATCATTACCATCAAAATACTGGCAGATCATCATCAAAATCTCGACCCTTCTGTGCCCTTTTCCACCACAGAAAGCTCCAGTTTAAATGGAACTGTTACTTTAATCAAAATTCTGGTGTATTTGCTTAACAGGTAGGGGATTTCTCTCTCTCTCTCTCTCTCTCTCTCTCTCTCTCTCTCTCTCTCTCTCTCTCTCTCTCT